GGGTAGGATCTCCGTTAGTGAGGAGGGGTAGAATCTCCGTAGTGAGGGAGGGGGCAGGATCTCCCGTTAGTGAGGGGAGGGCAGGAATCTCCCGTTAGTGAGGGAGGGGGTAGGATCTCCCGTTAGTGAGGGAGGGGGTAGGATCTCCCGTTAGTGAGGGAGGGGGTTAGGATCTCCCGTTAGTGAGGAGGGGGTAGATCTCCCGTTAGTGAGGGAGGGTAGTAATCTCCCGTTAGTGAGAGAGGGGGCAGGATCTCCCGTTAGTGAGGAGGGGGTCAGGATCTCCCGTTAGTGAGTGAGGGGTGGTTAGTGGATCTCCCGTTAGTGAGGGAGGGGTAGGATCTCCCGTTAGTGAGGGAGGGGGTAGGATCTCCCGTTAGTGAGGAGGGGTAGGATCTCCCGTTAGTGAGGGAGGGTAGGATCTCCCGTTAGTGAGGGAGGGGGTAGGATCTCCCGTTAGTGAGGGAGGGGGTAGAATCTCCCGTTAGTGAGGGAGGGGGTAGGATCTCCCGTTAGTGAGGGAGGGGGTAGGATCTCCCGTTATGGGAGGGGGTTAGGAATCTCCCGTTAGTGAGGAGGGGCAGGATCTCCCGTTAGTGAGGGAGGGGCGCAGGATCTCCCGTTAGTGAGGGAGGGGGGTAGGATCTCCCGTTAGGTGAGGGAGGGGGTAGGATCTCCCGTTAGTGAGGTAGGGGTAGGATCTCCCGTTAGTGAGGGAGGGGCAGGATCTCCCGTTAGTGAGGGAGGGGGTAGGATCTCCCGTTAGTGAGGGAGGGGTAGGATCTCCCGTTAGTGAGGGAGGAGGATCTCCCGTTAGTGAGGGAGGGGCAGGATCTCCCGTTAGTGAGGGAGGGGGTAGGATCTCCCGTTAGTGAGGGAGGGGCAGGATCTCCCGTTAGTGGAGGGGGGGCAGGATCTCCCGTTAGTGAGGGAGGGGGCAGGATCTCCCGTTAGTGAGGGAGGGGGTAGGATCTCCCGTTAGTGAGGGAGGGGGTAGGATCTCCCGTTAGTGAGGGAGGGGGTAGGATCTCCCGTTAGTGAGGGAGGGGGTAGGACCTCCCGTTAGTGAGGGAGGGGGTAGGATCTCCCGTTAGTGAGGGGGGGTAGAATCTCCCGTTAGTGAGGGGGGGTAGGATCTCCCGTTAGTGAGGGAGGGGGGTAGAATCTCCCGTTAGTGAGGGAGGGGGTAGAATCTCCCGTTAGTGAGGGAGGGGGTAGAATCTCCCGTTAGTGAGGGAGGGGGTAGGATCTCCCGTTAGTGAGGGAGGGGGACAGGATCTCCCGTTAGTGAGGGAGGGGTAGGATCTCCCGTTAGTGAGGGAGGGGGTAGGATCTCCCGTTAGTGAGGGAGGGGGCAGGATCTCCCGTTAGTGAGGGAGGGGGCAGGATCTCCCGTTAGTGAGGGAGGGGTAGGATCTCCCGTTAGTGAGGGGGGAAGGGGCAGGATCTCCCGTTAGTGAGGGGGGAGGGCCGAGGAGAGGAGATCTCCCGTTAGTGAGGGAGGGGGCAGGATCTCCCGTTAGTGAGGGAGGGGGTTCAGGAGGAGGGAGTATCTCCCGTTAGTGAGGGAGGGGGGTAGGATCTCCCGTTAGTGAGGGAGGGGGCAGGATCTCCCGTTAGTGAGGGAGGGGGCAGGATCTCCCGTTAGTGAGGGAGGGGGCAGGATCTCCCGTTAGTGAGGGAAGGGGGCAGGCATCTCCCGTTAGTGAGGAGGGGGCAGGACTCCCGTTAGTGAGGGAAGGGGGCAGGACTCCCGTTAGTGAGGGAAGGGGGCAGGATCTCCCGTTAGTGAGGGAAGGGGGCAGGACTCCCGTTAGTGAGGGAGGGGGCAGGATCTCCCGTTAGTGAGGGAGGGGGGCAGGACCCTCCCGTTAGTGAGGGAGAGGGGCAGGACTCCCGTTAGTGAGGGAGGGGGCAGGATCTCCGTATAGGAGGGGCAGGATCTCCCGTTAGTGAGGGAAGGGGGCAGGATCTCCCGTTAGTGAGGGAGGGGAGATCTCCCGTTAGTGGGAGGGCAGGACCTCCCGTTAGTGAGGGAAGGGGGCAGGATCTCCCGTTAGTGAGGGAAGGGGGGCAGGATCTCCCGTTAGTGAGGGAAGGGGGGCAGGATCTCCCGTTAGTGGGGGGGGCTCCGTAGGGAGGGGGGCAGGATCTCCCGTTAGTGAGGGAGGGGGGCAGGAACTCCCGTTAGTGAGGGAGGGGGCAGGACTCCCGTTAGTGAGGGAAGGGGCAGGACCTCCCGTTAGTGAGGGAAGGGGGCAGGACCTCCCGTTAGTGAGGAAGGGGGCAGGACCTCCCGTTAGTGAGAGGGGGAAGGGGGGCAGGCTGGGAGGGGGGCAGGATCCTCCCGTTAGTGAGGAAGGGGGCAGGACTCCCGTTAGTGAGGAAGGGGGGCAGGACCTCCCGTTAGTGAGGGAAGGGGGCAGGACTCCCGTTAGTGAGGAAGGGGGAGGCAAGGACACTCCCGTTAGTGAGGGAGGGGGGCAGGACCTCCCGTTAGTGAGGGAAGGGGGCAGGACCTCCCGTTAGTGAGGAAGGGGGCAGGACCTCCCGTTAGTAGGAGGATAGGGGGGCAGGACCTCCCGTTAGTGAGGAAGGGGGGCCATAGGACAGACTCCCGTTAGTGAGGAAGGGGGGCAGGACCTCCCGTTAGTGAGGAAGGGGGTCAGGACTCTCCCGTTAGTGAGGAAGGGGGCAGGACCTCCCGTTAGTGAGGAAGGGGAGCGAGGGGCAGGACTCCCGTTAGTGAGGAAGGGGGCAGGACCTCCCGTTAGTGAGGAAGGGGGGCAGGACCTCCCGTTAGTGAGGAAGGGGGGCAGGACCTCCCGTTAGTGAGGAAGGGGGGCAGGACCTCCCGTTAGTGAGGAAGGGGGGCAGGACCTCCCGTTAGTGAGGAAGGGGGACAGGACCTCCCGTTAATGAGGAAGGGGGGCAGGACCTCCCGTTAGTGAAGGAAGGGGGATACACCGCCTTAATCTCCAAGAAGATACTCACCTGGTGTCCACTCCTATGGTAAGTGTCAGATATCGACCACCTACCGAACACAACCTGACGCTAACACACATGTATCTAATGATCACATTCATAACCATAAATTTTAAACGGATGGAGGGGTAAGCCAGCGGAAGGCCTCGGACAGATGACCAAAAGCTCCAGGTGTGTGTCTGCGTCAGGAAACATTTGTCCTGTTTCCCGAGAAAAGTATTCTAACCTAACCTGCTGCTTGTCTATAGGGATCACTTCCCAGGGAAATACGTACGTTCGTATGTAAGTACGTGTTTGTGTGTGGTGGGGGAGGGAGCACGAGGCAGTAGAGTTTTATAGAGTAAGTACACTGGATATAGCAGCTTTAGCTTTTCTCAGAGCAAGGAAAGGTTAGACATACTTCTATACTCTCACTGTCGTATGTCTAGTAATTAGCATACCAGTAACTGACACCGTAACTACCAACATACAGTTGAGGGTGAGAGGAAGCAGGGAATACCACAATACACCCACGCTTGTCCAATCTACAAGTTAGCAATCATGTTGTCGAGCTGTCTCAATTTGTTGTAAGGGTGGCGTAGTATAGATGTAAGGCAGGATAAACAAACTCACAAACTAGACACCATTACTATTACTGCTACTACTACTCACAAACTAGACACCATTACGATTACTGCTACTACCATTACTATTGCCTCCCTTCACTTTCCTTTCTATCTCGTGTGGCACAAACTATTCTCCCTATTTTCTACTACCACCACTTCTTTTTGTCCCTTCCTTGGTCCCGTCCCTGTCCCCCTCGCCTACATATACTGGCTTCCTCACACTTTTGTGTTAGTGTGACTCTGTAAATGGTCCAAGTCAAACCGAAACGTCGTCTTAAACTTCTGTCTCTTATGTGCAGGTGACAGAACAAGCGTCTCCTGACACGGGTCTTAATCATATTGATGACCTGTTTAAGATTAACAGTTCTATCTACGTAGTTAGGTTAGGTAAAGTTTGTCAGGAAACAGGACGCGGGTCTATGTAATGTTTTATAAGCTGAGTCAAATAGACCCAATTGCCTGATCTTTTTTTCTTCATAAATTTATTATTATGCAATAATTTTTTTCAAGTTTTCCATCAAAACTTAAACTTAACTCTGTTAAAAGATCTTCAATATAATGTGGCTTTAAGTTGCCCAATCTATGCTATGTCTACCACGATTTGATTGAACATTTAAATTCATATGTTTTGTAATGTTACGACTGATTTCCGTAGACTTGTACCAAACATGTAAACACGCTGAGATTTTTTATTGAATAAGCCAAGAACCTATGACTATCTTACTATTATTGTTGAAAAATGGTATAAAATACCGACAAGTGGGTAAGACACACGTGCAACACTTGGGTATACTTACTTCTGAAACTTTTCAGCTACACAGTAGGTGTCTGCAAGCAAATAGAGAGGCAGCAGGTGTAGTGAAATGAACATTATGTACTAATTACTCCAACCATGGAAATAGACGGATTACATCTTCATTTTACCACTACACTTGCTGCCTCTGTATTTGACTGAAGAAGCCTACTGTGTAGGAGAAAACTTTCAACAATAAAGATATTGACCTACTGCACATGTGTCTTAATTATCAACCTGTCGGTATTTTATACCAGTTTTAACATAAGATACCACCTTCTTGAAGACATCTTAAATACACCAAAAAACTTGTGTACTCGCCAGAATCAGAAGGGACTCACAGGTAACGACCCACAAGGGGTAAGGGGAGAAGTGGGGATAGGTGAAGAATAGGTGGAGGAGAGGAAAAGAATAAAGAACAGGGAAAGAGAGTCGAGGCTAAACCCAACCGCAAATCATTGTAGTTTATAGGGCATTGAAATAGTCATGTGCCGCTGCATGTGCTTCCGCTCTCTGTCCCACATCACTTCTTGAGAGCGATGCAACAGCAGCAGATCAGCACAGCACAATAGTCTGGCTTAGAATAATCTCCGAAGAATAATCAGAAGTGTACTCACCAAGGGAGGGAGATTTGTGCCAATAACCATCGCGGACCTCCAGGTAGTCAGTTTTGCAGCCGTCACTCTTGAAGATGTCCATGGAGGTGATGTTGAGTACGATGCGCTCCCCGTGCGTAGCAGTAATCCGCCACTCGCACTTCTCTCCACCGGGAGGCGGCGCAGAATTCACGTACGACGGAGAGGAGAATGTGGCCGCGTTCTCCTGGTACGTCCTCCCGCATTCTGCGTAGGTGGAGGCCGGGAGGAGGAGGAAGAACAGGAGGTGGAAATTAGGTAAAGAAGTTGTGTTATATATGAATGGTATATAATACTGACAAGCTGGAAACTAGACATGCGCAACATCTGGGTATCACGTTTCGCCATCCAGTGGCTTTATCAATACAAGGACATAATGGGAAGACTGTAGAGCCTTGGAGTTGGTGCACCAACTCCACACACAGTGGCCAGAACTACATTGTGCCTAGGCAAACATCACATTAAGGATATAAGAACTCTGGACCTGTGAGCACTTGTTTGGACCTGTGAACACTTGTTTGGACCTGTGAACACTTGTTTAGACCTGTGAGCACAACGTTAGACACCAACACAACGTTAGACACCAACACAACGTTAGACACCAACAGTACGTCAGAAAAACAACAGGAACAGATAAAGAGAATACCAGGAAGAAACAGACAAAATATGAGGAAAAATGTTAAAAAAAAAGTCAGAAAGTGAACAGAGAGAGAGAGAAAGGAGAGGGAGAAACATTAGAAAGAAAGCAGAGAGAATAGGGAATAAAGGCGATAACGAAGGAAAGTGATTATCTGAAGAGGGGAAAAAATAGGTTAGTGATTTAGCTTACGAGAGGGGAAAGAGAGAGAGAGAGAGAGAGAGAGAGAGAGAGAGAGAGAGAGAGAGAGAGAACATCGTCTAGGAGTGAAATATATCACCAAGGAAGGGGAGCTTGAGGGGAAATAGATAAAAAATAGCAACGTAAGGAAATGGGTGATAAAAGGTGATCGAGGGGAAATTGACTGATGACGGAGGGAAGATGTGTGTAAAGAAAGTGGGAAGATGAGGGCATGATAGAAAATGGAAAGAGGAACAAGAGGAGGGGAAACGTGAGGTTAAGAGGGAAAGATGAGAATGGGAGAAACATGAAAGGTGGGAAACAGTAGGAAAGGGGGAGAAACAAGAGGAGAAAAAGAGGATAAGAATAAGGATATAAATAGGAGGTTAAGAAAATGTGGGGACAAACGAGAGGGAAAAAATAGGAAGAGGTGGAATAAGAGGGGAAGAAACAAGAAAAGGAAACAAGTTGAGAAGAAACAAGAAAGAGGAAACAGGTGGAGGGGGGGAATTAAAAAGGTGGAACAAGTGGGGAAGAAAGAGGGGACGAAAAGATGAAAACCAGAAAAGGGGAATAAGTGGAGGAAAAAATAGGGAAACAATCAGGAAACCGAGATGAAGAGGGGAGACAAGATAATAAGAAAGCTGGAAACCAGATTAAGAAACAAGGAGACCAAAAAAAAAAAAAGTAAACAAAAGAGAATAATAAATGAGAGAGAGAGAGACGGACAGAGGGGGGGGGGAGAGAAATTCGACTCCAAACTGACCATGAAGAACCACGTTGTAAATCTTGCAAACAAGGCAACTAGGAAGCTTACAGCACTTCGATGTATCTGGCATCTGCTTGACAGTAGAGGTTGCAAGATTCTGTATGAGGCACAAGTACGCTCACACCTTGGATTGCCAGCCCTCCATCTTATCTACAACTTGACAGAATAGAGAACAGAACAAGACGCCTCATCTCTCGCCTGGACCTAGCCTGGATAGATCTGTTATTTTAGTAGAGCCTTCAACACAGGAGGGATGTGGGTGGCCTCATTGTTATGTATAAGGCCAACATTAGCTCCACTCCGAGGACAGCGAGCTTCTAGACCACAAGACGGGCAGCAAGCAGCAACTTAACTCTGTACCCTTCTCCAGGACATCACTACATCTGAGATCATTTATTCCCAGGATGACTCGAGTCTGGAATGTGTTCGTACAGCATAACGATATCAACGAATGAAAGTCACCTGATTCACTGAAATTGCTGGCCCACAGATAGATCCAACTTCATCCTGTTCCATACTTGGATGTCTCATAACAAAAAAGGGCTTTTAAATGAGCTGATGTAAGTAACAGCTCTTAGCTTGTCAATAAAGTTAGGAATCCTTAACTTGTCAACAGCTTGTCAACAGTTAGGAATTCTTAAGCTGACCTTGCTAAACCTTGTGTAAAAAAGAAAGAGAAATGATAGCTTTGACTAAAAGAAATTTAAAAACGGTTACATCGATGATATTATTTAGATCAATTGTACACAGCACCTAGCAACCACCACAGCACCTACAAACCACCACAGCACCTACAAACCACCACAGCACCTAGCAACCACCACAGCACTTAGCAACCACCACAGCACCTAGCAACCACCACAGCACCTAGCAACCACCACAGCACCTAGCAACCACCACAGCACCTAGCAACCACCACAGCACTATCATCATCAGTGTCTGCAAACGAACAAGGTCTCAGTGAACAAAAATATAAACTGTATCAGTGGCCGCCTCACAAAGTCCAAATGATGTTTTTCAACTTTCACGAAGACTCAAACGACTATCTAATAACGACATAACTAAAGTCTAATGAACACTCGTCAATACTCATTAATAACCCACAAGAAGACAAACACAGGAGGTTGACTCATCTGTATATTTCGACCCTCTTTTGGGATCCTCTTTAGAAGAGGAAACCTATGTACAACGTCTTTAGGTAAACACGAACATAAACACGAGGAGGGGGAAGGAAGGGTTGGCCAGTACATTAAAGAGTCGCTCGTATCCACTAAGCTAGTGAATACTACAAATTAATTTAATTTAGGAGGGGAATACCAGTAATTGTTATGCTTCTATATAAACTACCAGATACAACTTCCCAGCAGTTCTAGGGTCAGCTATTAGAAATCGAGCACTGTCTTGAAAACCTACCAACTTAAACCCCGAGTCCCTTGTTACTTGGTGACTTTAATTTGAGAAATCTGAAATGGAAAACTGTAGGAAGGATGGTGATGGCAGAGATTCCGTGGGGCAAGTTAAGCGGAACAGTCTCACACATCAGAATTATTAATCCTCTGCAATAAATTCGCCTTAAGCCAGCAGCTTGCACAACCAACCAGACTGGACACCGAGGGCATGGTCTGGAACATAATGGTATCACAGACTGAAGTCTCAGACCACAATACAATCGACGTTCAGAACTGTATGCACAGTGACCCGGAACAGAAACATGATCAATAATGAGAGATAATCCATCAAATTCAGTTTGAACAAGAACATCAAAGGGGAACAAATAGGTCGTGGCCTTAATGAAATACGCTGGGAAGACGATATGACCACCTGGATCTAAACGAGTTTCTCGGGAGGATGAGGTCACTGGTGCTCCAAGTGTCCCCCCCCCCCACACACACATCTACGACAAATGAGAAGATGCAAACTAGAGAGAGAATGAGAAACAGAGAGAGAGAGATTAAGACGATGGATAACACATTCTCAGAGGCAGCACATTCTCTGAAGCGCGAAAGTAAACTGGTAAGAGAAATAGACAACACAGAACACTAGCTGATTGCATCATGAGAGTCCAGGAGAGAGAGAGAGAGAGAGAGAGAGAGAGAGAGAGAGAGAGAAGAGAGAGAGAGAGAGAGAGAGAGAGAGAGAGAGAGAGAGAGAGCGCAAAGAATCATGAATAAAATTACTTGAAATCTCAAATACTTTTTTCTCGCGTGCAAAATCCAGGGTGAAAATCACGTCCAGATGTCTTACTCAAAGGAGATGGAATATACACTGATGACAATACAGAAAGTGAAAAAACCGACTTCACTATACGACTAACGAGTTTTTCTTTAACGAGACTCAACACGCAACTAACACATGTTCTATTTCAGATGATTCCCTCTCCCTAGCTGACTTTGAGTAAGTCACTGATAACACACCCATGCACTCTGACTCAGCTTCAGACTCATGGAACGCCATATTCATCAAAGAATGAACAAGTAAATACTCTCTTGGGCCTTCGGTATAGAATACTGAAGGCCCATCCCTGTGGGATGGACATAAGAATCATCCCACAGTCATCAAAAACTACTGTTACTGCCACTTCTCAAAGGTGGCAGTAAAACAATCGCAGAAATTGCAAAACAATAGCGTAAACGTCAATTACCAAAATCTTCGAGCGGGTGCTGGGAAGCAAGATTACCAATCACATGGAAATCGCAATTGCACAAACCAGAGCAACATGGGTTTTGAGCCTTCGACAAGGGCAACCATGGTGTGATAGCGCACAAGATACGTGCAAAAGGAATTACCGGAAAAGTGAGCACATAGATATTTAACTTCTTCACCACTAGAACACACGATTGTAGAAGTAAACAGTGAAGTCGGAGGCTGCCATCATGAAAAGCTCTGTTCCTCAAGGCACAGTACTCCGCCCCAGTCAGCACGCATGCTGACTGCATGCATTCTGACTTTTTCGCTCTCAACAGCACCAACACATGCCTTCTAAAATTCTTTACAATGGCCTTGACTCTTTTCCTTTCTCTACAATTCTTTCCTCCCCCCCCCCCATCTATTCAACTATCCCCATTTCCCCCTCACCCCTAGTGGGTTCTTACCTGTGACTCCTCTGTTCTGTTCTGATTCTTATATCTGACAGACAAAGATACAAATCATAGCACCATAACATCCTTGGCAGACACCAGAATCTTTATGAGAGTGTTGTTCACTGAGAACAGTGAAGTCTTCCAGTGGACCTCAGGTAATAATATCTTGCTGAATAAGGACAAGTTTCAGTTACTCGGCTTTGGAAGAATTGAGGAAATACAGACCGAAGCGCAGCACAAGACAAATTCGAATCATTCAAGAGAGCGAATGTCCTATGTGCGAGACTTGGGAATGACTAAGTCGAAGGCCTGAGCACTGAAGGATCACAACAATGGTGCTATTGCCACCGCAAGGATGATGATAGGATAGATTAACTAGAACATTCAAAACAAGAGATGCTGAGGTCACGATAATACTCAAATCACTTGTTCTCTCCAGGTTGGAATACAACCTCAAGATTTCAGGTATTTACAAATGGCCTCCTTCATGGCAGGATAGATGACTGAGCTACAAAACGAACAGAGATTTTCAATGCCCATA